AACAAGAGATATGCATGCAATCTGTACTTGAACATCATCAATAAATTATGGTAAGTAACTTCTGTGATCATAACTCTCAGATATTTATATATTTTTCATTCAAGAATTTTATCAAAAGGAGCCAAAAGTACATATTGAAATGATAAAATTACAGGTAAACAAAATTGATTCTTTATTTAGAAATTGTAAGTAAATAACATACCTTTTGTGCATTGCTCGAACTCATGAACAAAATCTTTCCTTCTCTGTACACATCTACAATATTTTATTCCCACAATGTGATCTGTAGAACCATCCTAATACTTGAATCAAGAATATCTATATAGTACCATGTTTTTTAGTGTACATTTGTTTTCATTTGTAGGAGTTCACCTGTATACTTATCTTGGGGATTGGAATCAGGTAATTTAAAACCAAGGCACTATCTATCTAATAGCTAAGAGATCAGACCAGTCTTTCTAACCTCAGTTAACTTTTTTTTTCTTTTTTAAACAGATGAGGTAGAAAGGCAAGAAAAAAGAGAAAAAAGCATGATACAATGTTTGGAGAGAAAAGAAAATAGGACATACAATCATTAAAACCATAAACATGAAAAAAGACTGGAAAAGCCTACACATAGTTGATAAAAGATGTATTAGGTAGATAGGCTTGAATAATTCATTTTCTTTTTTCCTCTCCTTTCCAAATTTCCTGTAATAAAATGGTTTATGAGTTAAGGATTTAGATCTTCCAAAATTACTTGAAGTGAGACATTATTACAATTTTCAGAAATTCGCAAGCATTAAAGCACTCCACAATGCCTCAAAGAAATATGATAAAATACCAAAGGCTGAATTAGTCAAAACATTTTATGGGGAAAGGCATCACAGACACTAACAATTCAGAGACAAGTTTAAATGAATCCCTGCTTTCTTGTTTGGGGGCTAGTGAGGAGTATAATGATTCTATCTTGCCTAGAGAAGCACTCTGTACCTTTATTGTGGCATTTACTGGGTTTAATACTTTGTCCATATTTTCTATTTAATAACAAATGGAAATTAAGGTTTATATCACCATATTTAGTACAGCACAAACAAACAGAAGGTTTTAAAGTACAGTCTGAATTGTTTTACTTTAATGAGTTATTTTACCCATAAATATATACTTAAAATTCATTAAGAAGTGTGTCACATAAAAGAACTCTTGATAAATATTTTCATAAAGGAAAACAAATCCTTTTGAAATGCAAAGATTCAGCCTCCTTAAATTTGCTGACTTAGCTTGGATTGAGTTTTTATACAGTAAAACATCAGTTTCTAAAAAAAAGGAATGATTAATTAATCCAAAAAATTGCCACACACCTTTCCTGTGTCAGGTACTGTTCTGGATGCTGGGGTAGAGCACTGAACATGAGAGACAAGGTTTCCATACTTCAGAGTATACATGGCAATAGTACCTAACATCTGTTGGTGTACTGTGGTGTAGCGGTTCAGCTGAAAACCTCATCAATAGCCATCTCCCTTATGAATATGGGTGAAAAACCCTAAATACATCATCATACCCCCAGACACTAAAAAAGCATTCAACTAAATTCAAAATCCATTTTTAAAATAAACATAAAACTCAATGTTAAAAAAATCTCCAATATGATAAAATACTTTTATCTCAGTTAAAATGTCAGCATCACGATTAATGTGGAAACATAAGAAGCATTCCTACTAAGGTCAGGAACACAAAAAAGATGCCTACTAAGACACGCTACAAGTGAACACTGTTTTGGAGGCACTGGCCAATGCAATTAGAGAAGAAAAAGAGGAAAAGAAAAAGGTTGAAACATCAAAAAGAAAACGGCATAATTATTACTATTTACAAATGATATGATAAAGTGCTACTACGAATAAGAGAATTCAAAATTAACAGAGTGAAAGCAACAGATTTTCTTTCTTCTATAAAAAACAAAAAATGGGAAA